TGATGACATTCTTGGTGATATTATGAATGAAATGGGCAGCAGTAATAATGATATTACAAACAAATATGGAGGTCTGTGCTGAATAAACCTTTTTGAATACATCAAATCAAGCTTCTGAATATCTGATGAAATCTTATAGTAGTTCAAGTGGATTAAAAGAAAAGACATTCACAATAAAGACGTCATTTTTTCAATTTATTGGGGGTTTTTTTGCAGCTCAATATATATAGTTTAATATATATAGCTAGGGATTAAATTTACTTGGAAATTAACTTTCTTTTAAATTATTTTGCTATAGGTGTGGACCAGAATCTTGATCCTTCCTCGTTTAATGGTGCTGATCTCAATAAACGTTATACATTGTTTTCACTTGGGCATGACGGAATGCAAGACGTAGATCTGATTGTACGGGCCAATAACGACGGTACTGATGGGATGGGAAATGAGCTGTGTATTGTTCATAAAATTGAATACGCCCCCGAATTTGGCGCTGAGGTTTGAAATTTTGGAAATTTTTCAAAGAAGAAGAGTAATTACTAATAAGTCATTACGGAGAAGATGAACTTCGTAAGTTAAGAAAAAATAGTTGAACCATTCTTTTATATTAATTTCCATTTTCTATCTCTTTTTGTAATTAAAAATTTTCGTTTCAGAGACTAGATGATGAAGAATGGCTGCATGATTATTTTCGTTGCAAACTAAAATGTGCCTCGCAGCTTGTTCGCCTAAGGTGTTGCTTTAATTCATATTTCACTATTCTTTCTTTGCCTCTTTTTCACAGATATTCGAATTTTAGTTTTGGATTTTGAATCTAAAATCCATATCTTCAATTAATTTTTTCTAATAAAATGAGTATTCATGTTTGGTTATTTGTAGAATACATTATTTGGAACAGCATCTTCTCCAGAGGGAACGTTACAATGAAAATATGCTAACTGCAAATCGACCGGATCTGCGAAAACTGTTAGTGTCGCTGAAGAACTTTAAAAAATAGATTTATAAAAGTGACTTACAAATAAAATTAAGACAACTGCAAATCGAATTTGATGATCTGAAAACTTCGCAGGATAATTGGAATTAATTTTTGATCTAACTTTTTTAGAAACTATTAATTAGTTAATTGATATGACAAATGTCTAATCGGATTCGGATATGTTGCAGTGCCGAAGAACGAACACAGTGGTTGAAAAAGATAGTCGTGAAATTAGAATCTCTTCAACCGGGCAACTATCTAATTCGAAAGGAATCGAACAAATTACAAATTTTACTCCCAAAAGATGAGACGTAATTACTTAAACTATTCTTCATTATCGATTATGGTGACTTTTAGCTGTATATTCCTCCGGATGTACTAATGGGCTATTCTGTTCACTCTTTTCTGGAATTAGTGTCAAAGTGTGCTATTCTTTTTCAATTAAAATCGAATCTGTTGTTAGCTCTTTTTTAGGAATAATGCATATTTAATGGAGGAAAGGCTGAAGCAGTTGCATTTTGATGAACGTTTACCGCCAGTTGAGGAAGTTTTCCGTGGGATTGACGAGCATTTAGTGCTTGTGTATCATATTGTACAAAAACGAATACCAGCCTCGTTTGGAGCAAAAAAGGATGGTGTTATGCAGAGAAATCCAAGAAAACAAGCTAATAGTGCGTTCATATCTTTGTCTTAATTATCTAAACCGCCGTTTAATCTTCTCAAAAAAGTTTAGTTTCAATTCTCTTTCATGTTCTTTCAGCTTCAAACCAAATTTCAGATGCGACATTATTTGACCAACAGGCTTATTGCCAACACTCCAAAGATATTGATGATGTATTCGGTGATTCGAATGAAACTGCTGGCACACAGGAGGGTATATCGTCGTCAGTTTACCGATCCAAAAAACGTAGAAAACGTAATCGTACGAGGGAAAATTGTGGAAACGGCTCGAGAACTCCTAGTGTTGGCAGACATTCACGATTTGTTGATTTTGATGCGCCTCAGGGATTGCAAGAGCTTTAAACATAGCCATAGCAGTTAGCTTATTCATATCTGACAGTCGTGTTGAAATGCTTCCACTTTGCATTTATGTTCATATCCTTATTTTCATGTCTGAGATAGTCCTCATTTCAAATTTATAGTTTTAAACCTGTAAATACCAGATGTTTTTTGAAAAATGGCTCCATAAATATTTAGCTTATTTATTTATTACTCGTTTTTACTGATTACATTTAGAAAATTTCCTTTTTGTAAGTGCATCAGAAACACCAATCCGGAAGCTCTTTGCTTCGAAATTTAAATTTTTATTGAATTCACTTATGTAGCATCTTTAAAACCAAACAAATTTATTCATTTAAAATGAAAAGAAAGAGAAAAATATATAACCCAAATGAAAACATTTTGATATATCATTCCAAAATTAAAATAAGTTGAATTTTCACAAAAAAAATTTTAGTTGTTTAGAGTTTTAGTATCTAGAAACATGAAAAAAAGTCATTCTAATATTTTTAGCTTTCTACATGCTCTTTATAACAGTCATAAAAATTCAGAAATATATATAGAACACTGCATGCTATTTGATTCGTCCGTATAATCTCCACTTTAATGAACCGTGAAAATCGCTTAGCAATTTGGTCCGCTGTATTAAGCTATGTTCCAAAAAGAATTAATGATGCCTAATTATTATAAAGTACAATAACTAGAAGACTAGGGCATTAATTTAATAGCGGAGGCTGAAATGATGTAATCACAAAAGTCCTTGTCTTTTAAGATCTTCAAATGTTCGTTTATTGACGACATTTCCGGCGGAATCCTCAAACTCTTCATCATGTTCGGGATTCCACTTCAGCGATTCTTTTTGCCGTCGTATTTTTCCCCAAAGTTCGACAGCATCAGAAATTTTCGTAATATTGGCAAAATGTGCAGTATTCGGGATTCCCAGACAACGCATGCCATGCGAATGACGCCACTCCTAAATTTGAAAAAACTGCAAGTTGTATAAGATTTTTGAAGTGTTATAATTCTACTCATAGTCATAAATGGACAATTACTAATATTTACCCATTTGGCATTCATTAAAGTAAAGTAAAGCAATGTCTGAATATCTCAAATAATCAATTAAACAACATATGAAAAAAAGCAAATGCTGAAATTACTGGTCATTTTATCGCTTATATTCTTACACTAAAATTAGAAATCATTAGAAATTAGAAATCTGAGAAATTCAAACTTTTATTTTAGGACTTAATAAATTAACGGGAGAAAATGATCTGTATATTAAGCTCACACACATTAAAATGTCGTTGAAATGCCTTCGGTCCTTTGTAGACCTGATTGCCACAAATTTCGCATGGGAAGGATATATTGAGACCATGCAATTTGTACAGCCAATATGGAATTGGTTTACCATCCCATCCCAAGGGTAAATTTTTGGGATTGTACGGAATGCTATCATCTTCATCATCATCTGACATATCGTTTATGTCTTCCTCTTCTTCCATATTTTCCCCGATTCCTCGTGCTTGCTTTCTTTCGACATTTTCTTTGGTAGCTTCTCTTTCATCGTTCAATAAAGATGATAACCTGAAAAGGATCATTATTTCTCATATTAACTTGAAAACAATGGATTATTAGTAAGTACAATCTAAACATTCGTTACTAAGTACTATCATGGACCCGATTAACATCAAGTTCTTATGACAATTTACTTTCTTCCTTGTCTGAATTTGATACCCTTTCTATTTCAGTTCCTTCGAGA